TAGGGGGACATGAGGGGGTAGGGGGACAGGAAGGGGCTATGGTAGTAGGGAACCTTGGTATTAAGGTTTCCTGAGATTGGGTGATTTGGTGGCAAGAACACGGAGGAAGGAGAAGCTGAAATGCCCAGGACTACTTCCTTAGTTGCCTGTGGAGTTCAGAGCCCTGGACTCTGAGAGCTGACACACTGTTACGCTCTCCCCTCCTCACCGCAACAGAGAGAAGCAAGTTCTGCGGTCAGCAGAAGAGGCCCCAGGTCCCTGGGGTGTGAGCCTAACTGTGCTGGGGCCAAATAGCTAGGCCTAGGCCCTCTGTGGCCATGGTTAGTGTCACAGAGAGCACAGGCCTGGCTGGGAGTGAAGAGCCAATCTGGGTACAGGGTTTTGTTGCTAGTAGCACTTTGACCAGAGTGGCTACAGCACTGAAGGAAATGAGTGGGCTGTATAACTGAAAAGGCAGGGGTAGGACGGCAGGCACAGTGGGCTCAGGGGCTGAAACAAAGTCAGTTGGCACCCACTTTTACTGTCTCTAAGCTCTTCTTTCCTCTATGGTGCCTTCACTCCTGGACACATACCCCTGGGAAGGGGGTGAAGGCGGCTACCAGCAGCTCCAGGCTTCTGCTCTATTTACTTGGCAACTTCAATGAAAATAAAATAGCCTCTTGCTCCCAATAGCTTCAGCATAAGTCCTTGACCTGACCTTCATTGATCAAACATGGGTCTGGGCCAGTCACTGGGCCTCTCTGATGGACCCAGCTTAGTTAACAGTCCCGTTTCTTGGGTTGTACATGGGGTCAGTCCTACCCAAACCACAGGGACTGAATTGGGGGCAGCCTGATCCTGCAAAGGACCATCAGGACCATTAGGGTGCCCTTTCTGGAAGAAGGTGGATGAATGCTGAGTAGGCAAAGACAGCAGATGCCACCAGAGAATTCCTTTGCGGGAATGGTCTCAGAGCATTTCTGAGATGTGGCTCAGCAGCCCAGCCTTTGAGGCTGTGCCCTTCAAAGTACCAGGCCTGCCAGGAAGGGAAAAGCCTGCTCTGGGAAACTGTCACACTTGTGTTCAGGAAGCTGCTGCATGCCAGGCTCTGGGCTGGGCACTGGGAAGATAGATGAGAAGGACCCAAGATGTATCCTAAGAGCTCAGAGAGAAATACATGCCCAGCTGAACTCAACAGCAGGGCCTCTGCAGGAGGAAGCAAGGGATGCTGTGGGAGGAGAACCTTTGTGTCTGGGCAACTGGGCTTTGGAGGATGATTAGGAGTTCATCATTTAAAGAGGGCAGGGGTGGGGGAGGGAAATATAGACTGGGGGACAGAGTGATAAGAAAGCAAGAACATTGTGTCTGGGGCAGCAGGGAGGCAGGGAGTGGTGGGAGCAAGGTCACCTGTGTTGGGCAGACGTGGGTGGTGGGGAGCCACTGAACGTTTGTGAACAGGAGGAGTAATATGGTCAGGGCTGAGTTTTAGAAAAGGCACTGTGGTGGGTGGGTGGAAGATCCCCACTCTCCTCTCTGGACTGTGGATAGTTGCTGAGCCTTCCAGAGCTGTGCTTCCTAACACCTCTCGACCTGGAGGTACTAACACTGTCTCTCTTTCTCTTTAACCCTCTGCCTGTCTGTCTGTCTTGCCATCTCGTCTTCCCCCACCTAACCCCTTTCCCTTAAGGATCGCTGACAAAGCATTCTACCAGCAGCCAGATGCTGATATCATCGGCTACGTGTACGTGTGTCTCCTCTGCTCCTTGGTCTGGGGGAGCTGGAGAGGGCGAGGCCCCTGTGTGGCTGGCACAGTTTCTTGAGTCTCCTGCTTGTGGGGTATAAGAGTGCGGCTGGGCGAGGGGGTGGGCAATCAGTGCAGCACCTCCAGCACTCCAGCAAATGCTCATTGAGGTCTATTCTGTGTGGAGGCAGCTTTGCTAAATCCAGGAAGAGAAAAGAATGCACTGGCCATGCCTGGGTGGGAGGGATGAATGGCAAAGCAGCCCAGCTCCTTCCCAAAGAAGGAGCCCAGCTCCTTCACCCTACCTCCTGGGGGTGGGAGGTAGGGCGAAGAGGTCTTCTGTTGAACAAAGCAAACACTGAGTGCCGGTTTCTGGAGGTACAAAGAAGAGCGCTAGGAGCACACCAATCCCCTTCTGCTGCCCCCGAGTGCACTGCTCCTCCTTAGAGCTTCTACCTGATTTGGCCATGACCCCGGCCCTGACTGCCACAGCGCCCTCACATGTGTTCCTGGTTTGAGATCTAGCTGGTACTGTGACTAATCTAGACCGGAGACTGCAGAGGTTCCCTCTCATGTCACCTCAGTTGGTTGACAGCGACACCTAGGGTTGTGTTAGGGATTGTGAAGCTGAAGGGAAAAATACAGTGATGAGTGTGTGAGGCTGGCCAAGTATTGGCTGTTCCCCATGCTGGCCACACCCTTGGCAAGCCTCTGATGCTTCCTGTCTGGCTAACTCTTCTCTCACAGAGCCCAGGACACCCCAGAGTAACAGCCTTTCACTCCTACCTTCCATCCACTTTCCTGGTCCAGTCCTCATGGGTACTTGCCCAGTGCCAGTTTCTGGTCAAACAGGAATAAGACACACATGGTCTGTACCCCCAAGTTGCTCACAGTTGGGCATGTGTGGTAATAAGATCTGCATGGAAGGATACAGAAAGCTCTGGAAGCCACCTTCTGCTGTGAGAGCCAGGGCAGGCTTGAGATGCAGGACTTGTAGCTGGACCATAAAGCGGGAGGAGGAATGACTGGGTGGGGAGGGTGAGAAGAGGGGAAGGGCATCCTAGGTAGAAGCAGCTGCTGGAGCAAACGTGATGGGATAGGACATACTTAGCAGCCCATAGCTGTGGGCCATGGAGGCAGGGATGGCTGGAGAAGGTCAGCTTGGGGCTAGCTGCAAAAATGCCTGATGTGCCATGCCAAGAAGCTGGGACTTGATCCTGAAGGCAGCGGGGAGCCACAGGAGATTTCAAGCAGAACAGTGGGGATGGCAGAGGGACATTGGTGCTGGGGCCGGTTAGTGCTCCTGTTTCAGCCCAGGAAATGGTCCAAGGAGCACACAAGGGAGTCCTGAAGAGGGAGAGTGCAGACCGGCACTTCTCAGACATCCATGTGCCTGTGAAAATCACCAGAGGATCTAGTTAAAATGAGGTTTTTGATACAGTAGGACTGAGTTGAGCCATGATTATGCATTTCCAACAAGCTCCGTGGTGATGCCCATGCTGCAAGACCACCCACCGCACTTAGGGCTGCAAGGTTAGCGGGAGCCTCTTGACCCAGAAGGATAGCTCCTAGGAAAGCTTTCTTCACCCCCCGGATATCCGACTCTGCACAGCAGTAAACATCTTCCCAAACTTGCACACACCTACGATCTCCTTAGATTCTCAGGCCACTCAGATCACCAAGGTGGAGGCTCTGATCCTCACTTTAGAGGTTAGGTAATGAGCACACAGCTCGTAAGCAAGATCAGTATGGAGGGGCCAGGTTACCGGATCACAGGCCAGATCATCTGTGGCGCAGCCTGTGGACCAACTGTAGAACTCCCAACCATCTGCCAGTGCCTGGTCATGTTTGAGATGTTAGAGGGGGCTTCCAAGGAGAAAGCGGCTTTCTGGGGATCATTGATAGCCAAACAGGACACAGATCCGGCCCTCCTACCTAAGAATCATTTGTTGTCTTTCTCTTAATAACACCTACATTTAGGTTTCATCCACTAAATTGTATGTACAATACTTTGTCTCTCCATTGTTCCCGGATCAGTGGCTTCTAGACCTGTCAGCTAGAGCTTCTAATGGAGAAGCTACCAGTTGTCACCCTAACTTGACTCCAAACAAAAGCAAAGACTTAAATGAATGGAGCGGTCGCCATGCTATGGCTCCACAGATAAGCTATTCTGGGCTAAAAAGACCTCTGCCATCAAACATGTTGGGGATATGCTGGATTCTGGCTCCATCACTATTCCACTGATGCACATTAGCACATGAAAGGCTTTGAAAGTCTGGCTTTGAAGATCCTCTTTAACTGAGTTTTCTATTAGTGTTTGACCACAACCCTTTTCTGGAGAACACTTACAGGGTCCACAAAACATGGAGACAATGCTGAACCCAGTACTTCAGTTATGTTGTTAGTCGCTGGCTGAGGTACCACAGAAGTTCCTCCCTCCAAGGGCCATTAGGTGCCAGGAACCCCAGGTGGGGAACTTTTGATGGAGAGGTAATGACCAGAGAGTGCCTAGGCTGGGGCAGGGGTGGAAAAGGGATAGGAGGAAACTTGAGCTAGGGTGGCAAGGGAAGACCTTTCTGAGGAGGTGAGGTCTGCACTCAGTCCTGAATGACAAGAAAAAAGCCATGAGGAGCAGGTCTGGGGGAAGAGCATTCCTGGGACAGGTGACATGTGCAGAGGTCCTGAGGCAGGACAAAACTAGGCTTCTTCTGATGCCAAGGCTTTTCCTGGGGGTGAGAGGGCACAGGGCTGGGGAGGAGACCTCTGGACAAAGTACCCCAGAGTAGGATGGATGAAGAAGCCTTGCTCAGTGGGAGCAGAGCATCACTGATTCAGGGGAAAGGCAGACAGCTCTGAGACCTCTGTCCTATCTCCACCTACAGGGCGTCTGAGGAGGCTTTCGTGAAGGAATCCAAGGAGGAAACCCCAGGCACAGAGTGGGAGAAAGTGGCCCAGCTGTGTGACTTCAACCCCAAGAGCAGCAAACAGTGCAAAGATGTGTCCCGCCTGCGTTCTGTGCTCATGTCCCTGAAGCAGACACCACTGTCCCGCTAGGGGCCGGCCACAAGCAGAGCCACAGAGCATGGGCAGGGTCAGGGCAGAGGAGCAGCTGCTTGGAGCAGGGGGTGGAATGCCTCCAGCAGCTGCTCCACACAGCCTACTACCTTTCTCCCCATCTGCCGGGGGGCCGGGAAGGGAACACTCGCCCCTCAGCCTCATTCCCTCTTGGCCCTAAGTCCCAGCCCCTCACACCACCTCTTAGTCCACAAAATTGTGACTGTCCCTCCTGATGTATTTTTTTCTTGGCTTAAAGGGTGTGTTGTTAACTCTTTTTACACTTATTTATTATCATTGTCATTTCTCTGGAAGCCACAAATGGTGTCAGGGTTCAGTTTGTCCTAGAAGTTTCCCAGCTTCATGGCCTTGAGAGAAGATGAGGCCATTCCCTTGGAAACCCAGGAGCTCCCAGCTTGAAGTGGGTATCCCAAGCTGTCAATGCTGCCTCCATTCCCAGGAAGAAAGACCACCTCTCACAGAATGCTTTGCAACCCTGATCTTTTCTGTCTTTGAACATGCCTGTGATAGGAATTCTGTTCTCATNCTACTACCTTTCTCCCCATCTGCCGGGGGGCCGGGAAGGGAACACTCGCCCCTCAGCCTCATTCCCTCTTGGCCCTAAGTCCCAGCCCCTCACACCACCTCTTAGTCCACAAAATTGTGACTGTCCCTCCTGATGTATTTTTTTCTTGGCTTAAAGGGTGTGTTGTTAACTCTTTTTACACTTATTTATTATCATTGTCATTTCTCTGGAAGCCACAAATGGTGTCAGGGTTCAGTTTGTCCTAGAACTTTCCCAGCTTCATGGCCTTGAGAGAAGATGAGGCCATTCCCTTGGAAACCCAGGAGCTCCCAGCTTGAAGTGGGTATCCCAAGCTGTCAATGCTGCCTCCACTCCCAGGAAGAAAGACCACCTCTCACAGAATGCTTTGCAACCCTGATCTTTTCTGTCTTTGAACATGTCTGTGATAGGAATTCCGTTCTCATCATACAGTCAGACACCAAGGCTCCCAGAGGATACGGGGCTTGAAGTAGGAGGGAAGAGGCAAGACTAGAGGTTCCCAATGGAGGCTCGTCTAAGCCTGGCTGAGAGGCTGGTGAAGGAAGCCTCTGCCAAACCCCCTTCCTTGGGAATGGCTGGGGCCCTTTTCATGTGGAGGGCCCACTGCTCTCCCTCCTTCAGCTTGCCCCTCTGTGGATTTAGGATAAACAGTGACCACACCTTCTTCCTGTCCAGCAGGGGTTGCAAACAGGTTACATTCCAAAGATTGTGACCTGCACAGTTTTAAAACATTTAATTGCCAGCCATATTAATTTCCTAGAACATCATAACAAAGCCTGGCTTAGAATAACAGAAATTGTCTCACTCTTCTGGAGGTCAGAAATCTGAATGAAGGTGTCAGTAGGGCCATGGTCCTCTGACATCACTAGGGAAGGATGTTTCAGCATGTCTTCCAGCTTCTGGCTGCCTCAGGCATTCCTTGGCTTATAGATGCATCAGTACAATCCTGAGTTCATCTTCACATGGCCTGTACTCTGTATGTTGCCTTTGCTCAAATTTCCCCCTTTTTGTAAGGACACCACTCATATTGGCTCAGGGCCCACCTTAATCTCATTTTAATTTGATTACTGCTGTAAAGACCCTATTTCCAAATAAGGTCACACCTCAGGTACTGGGGTTAGGAATTCAATGTATCTCTTAGGATACAATAATGCCTGCAGTTACAAAAAGTGACCGTCTCCATAGTCCTCACCAATCTATATCTGTTCCTTGAATCTTGAGGCTAAGGGACACCACAGTGTACTGCTCTGCAACTGTAATCTTTTCCTTACACTGAGAGACCACAGGGAGGGCAAGCAAATTAGCTGACCCTGGTCATACACTTCTCCATTTAGAAATCTAGACTGTGTCGGTGTGCTCAAGAAGTGGGTGTTATCTGTCAGATGCTGCAAGAACCATGCCAGGACAGTCAAGACTAGTGGAGTGAGTCTTAGGTGGTCTCGGGAGGTGGGAGTGGGGTGAGGAGCAGCAGCACAGTGGAGGCCAACACCCCTGCCTCTGACAGGACCATGGCAAGCCTCACCTGAAGGCAGGTTTTTCTACTGAAAGTTGGGAAATTGTTGGAAAGATCCCTCTCCCACCCTCTTCCCAAATATTATCACTCTTGGGAATCTCTATTTCCCAGAAGCTGGAAAGTTTTTGAATATGAGATCATATAATTTCTAAGGGCCACTGCAGTCTTTAGTTTGTTTCTCCTAAAATCAAAGGCCAAAAACCTTGAGGGTGAGATTAAGAATTCATGAAACTATAAGTGGATTAGAGTTTATTATGTAGGGAGTGGAGAAAGTGTGGCGGAAACAGAAGTATGCAACACCCAAAGGGAACCGAACCAGAGATTCCAGAAAAAAATCTGTTACTCAGTTGGCCACTTCTTCCCCCACTGACACAGGGGCTTGTCAGGGGAGAGGCGGGAATAAGTCCGTTGGCAGGACCGGTGGTTGCTCCTGGGACTGGGGACGATCTCCGCGGAGCCTTCAAGGCCCGGCCTCGGGCTCAGGGTTTAGACTTCAGAGCGGACACTGCCAGACCCATCAAGATGGCTGCAACGGTGAAGCCCTGGGCGGCGATCCGGGTGCGCATCATGAGCTGGGAGCGGTGGCTCTGACCCCGGTGGAAGCAGTAGAGGCCGTAGGTAAGGGCGGCGGCCGTGCCCAGGCAGCCTGAGGAAGGCACAAAGCAAGCTGGGGCGGCAGGTCGGCCCCAGAGACCACTCCCCGCTTCGGGCCTTCTTT